ACCTTCTGTGGGTGTGGCCCTGTCCCCTCACACTCTCAGCCAGGACTTGCTTCCCGTCCCATTTAGGATAGAATCCAATGCCCCCCCACAGCTTGGAAATGGCTGGGGGGAGTCTGGTCTTGGACTGCCACCTTGGTGGCTTTGTTTCTGTCCCCTAGACAGCGCAGCCAGCCCCCAGGGTCCCCTGGACAGTCCAGCCAGTCCCCAGGGCAGGGCTCGTGCTCTGCTGTTCTCTCTCTTCGAAGACTTTCACAAGCCTCATTCCTTTAGTTAATGTCGCCTCCTCCAAGAAGCCCTCCCTAAACACCCCATCTGAAGTAGGGTGACCCTTCCCCAATCTTATCACTTTTCCATGTTTGTCCTTCATAGCACTTATCACTSTTTGGAGTCCCCGTCCCCGCCCCCCGCCCCATTTATAGGCCCCTCTCTCTGGCCCCACCAGAAGGCCAGCTTGTTGCTGTGTCACCCAGGAGGTCCTCTGTACCTGGCACACAGTAGATGCTCAATAAACATTTGTTTGAATAAATGAAATACGCAGGTCCCACAGGGACCTGGTCTTTTCTGCGTGGGGACAGGGACAGAGACAGCAGGCTCTAGCCACAGGTCACCTTTGTGACCCTCCTGCTCTTCAGATGCTAGAGGTGCCGGGCACCTTGGTGGCTTGGAGGTCAAGTGGGCCCCCCCAGCCCTGTCCTTGCTGGGTGCCTTCGCTGGGCACCTGAAGGTGGCCTGGAGCGGGTGTCACCCCGCGGGCCACCCAAGTTTGCTGCGATCGGGAGGCCACTTTGGGTCTGCGGGGGGAGCCCCTTTTTTTGGGGGGGTAGTTTCCAAACGACCCATGACACGGCCGCAGAGGTGCGGCCAGAAGCGCCCTGCGCCTTCCAAATGAATAGTTTTGAGGTCCTTGGGGACATCCCGGAAAAGTCATCAGAAAGACGTTGGGGGGCTGACCGCGGGGGACCCGCCCAAGGACGGCGCTGTCTCTGTTTTCGGGGGAAGCAGCGGTGGCCATTCCTGGCCCCCTAAGCCACCCCGGAGGGGAGAGGGCAAGTCCCCGCATCGGCCCCAACCGGGGAGCGCGCGGTGGCTGCTCCAGCGAGAACTGAGGGCGGCGGGCGGCGGGTGCGGCAGTTAAACGTTGGGAGCGCGCCCCGCCCCGCCCACAACCCCGCTAACTCGGCCACGCCCACTCGGCCACGCCCATAACGCCCCCGACGATCGGACCCCGCCCACACTCCCCGCCGACTCGGCCCCGCCCCACTCCCGCCCACACCCCCACCGACTAGGCCCCGCCCCGCCCTCGCCGACTCGGCCCCGCCCACACCTCCCCTCTCACAACGACTCGGCCCCGCCTCACTCGCGCCCCGCCCCCGTGGACTAGGCCCCGCCCACACCCCCGCTCACCAGGACTGGGCCCCGCCCCGCCAGGCCCCTGGTTTCCATGGAGACCCAACATTCCCTCCCAGCCGTGCGCTCCGCGGCTGCGCCAGGGCAGCGCCCGGGACCGCCGKAGCGCACCGTTTCCACACCCAGCGACTTACTGCTTCGCACACTCGCTAATCACAAAGCCACCATGTCGCTTCCCGGACCCCTACTCTTTTTTTCTACCAGGGATTGAACCCAGGGGCACTCAACCCCTGAGCCGCGTCCCCAGCCCTTTTTCTATTTTATTGAGAGACAGGGTCTCGTCCAGTTGCTCAACACCTTGCTTTTGCTGAGGCTGGCCTCCACCTTGCGATCCTCTTGCCTCAGCCTCCCCAGTCGCTGGGATGACAGGCGTGGGCCACCGTGTCTGGCTCGGGCCCCTTCTCCAGCGGCTTTGAGGCCGGAGAGGGGAGAGGGAATGTTCTATTTTAGCCAGGAGGACGGGGTTAAGGATGGGGTTCAGTGGTCCTAGCATGCGTAGGGCCCTGGGTTCGATCCCCAAAACTGAAACAAAGGGATCAGAACTGGGAGTTGGGTCCTGGGTATAGCAGGACCCCGGAGAGGCCAGCTTTCTGTTTCCCTGGGGTGGGTGGGGTGGTGTGCCTTGGGCATGTTCCCCAGGGCTCAGTGCAGAGCTCTGAGCTTGGAAGGTTGGAAATCCACCCTTCCCAGGACAGAAGCCCGCGGGAGGGCCCTCCTGCTTTGGGGACTGCCTCCCTCCCACAGGTCAGCACCAGGCCCTCACAGAAACACAGTGACACACTCTGATCATCGTCCAGGAGGCGGAAAGAACATTCCACACCACCTGGGGTTCCCTCCCGCCAAAGACCCTGCGCCGATCTCTAGTGCCCAGAGTTCCAATAGAAGATCCAAAGGTGAATGAATGGACGCGGTGCTGTCTGTCATCCCAGCAGCTCCGGAGGCTGAGACGGGAGGATCTCGAGTTGGAGGCCAGCCTCTGCCATTTAGCRAGGCCCTAAGCAACTCAGCGAGACCCTGTCTCTATAAATAAAATAGAAAAAGGGCTGGGGATGGGGTTCAGGGCTTAAGTGCCCCTGGGTTCAAACTCTGGCACCAGAAAACAAAACCCCACAATGGTTTATAGTGAGAGCGGTAGGAGGGCCAACCGCCCACTACTGTGCTCCAGGGTGCCCTGGCTCAGTGAAAGCTGCCACCGCATGTATGCACCTGAGGCCA